GGCCTGAAACCGCCCCTCCGACAATTCCATGACGTCCGCACAGGGCCCTTTTTTTCATGACGTCCGCAAAGGGCCCTTTTTTCATGACGTTCGCACCGGCCCCCCCTCGCGTGGATTTCGACGTCGCGCCACCGCACGATGCGTGAATCAGACTGTCGTTCGCCGACCCACGGACCGTTTGCGCGAAAAGGCCGAGAAGGATTATGCGTGGGGGCCTGAAATCCTCGCGCGTACAAATTCGAGTGGCGCCCGTGCGAATCAGGCCGTATTCTGAGTTTTCGCTGGGGAAATGTTGTCGGACGGACGTCTCGCACTGGCATTGTCGTCAATACCAGCGCCCCTCACAGGCGGAGCGCCATAGCTTGCAAGCGGCACGAGGCAAACCTCCGTCGCACCAACGCACGTCGTCCTCCTTCACCTTCCGCGTTGCGTTCCACGTCACCTTCCCAGTCGCACCGCACTCGTTGCCGACCTTTCACGTGTCTGTCCACGCCATATTCCTCGCGGATCGCTTTATAGTCCACCTATCACGTCGACGTCCTCGCGTGGTCATCCGCCTGTGCGCGTCGACCTGCTTGCGTATTCTTCCATTAGCGACGGGTTCATCCGGTGAGTTGGCACGTGTCCGTTTCGATTCGATCGCTCTTCACTCCGTGTGTCTGTGTGCGGATGTGTTTATGTAGACTGAACAAGTGTGCATGTGTATGTGCGTGTCTCCATGCGGAAGTTTTTTGTTCGCGGATGCATGACGTGGCATGTATCCAATCCTAGTGTGTCCTATAGGTGCGACCTGCTCCCCACCACCTTTCTTGTGAACGAGTGTGTGTATTTGCAATGCGCGCGTCTCCAGCGGAGTGCCCGTATGAACATGTGCTCAAGTGCGCGAGTGTGTCGTCCTTGCATAGATTCATCTTGCGCAGCCGATCAACCGCGCAGGCTGAAGATTCACTCCGATCTTTCTGAAGATTCATTTCGATATGGGTGATGACTCATTTCGATCTGGCTGATGATTCATTTCGCTGATCGATTGCCTGCGCGGTTGATCGCTTGCTCAAGTTGACAGAAATCCATGAACGACACACTCGCGCACTTGAAAATATGGTGGTTTGAACGAGATCGGATGAATGCTGGGCTAAATGGTTTGGGTTGAATGAAGGGAAGACGGAAACGAGTAAGGAGAACGGAGCGCTAATGTATTTGTTTTTCCACACTCGAACGTTCAATCAATGAATGTCCACTTCGTCCCCAATCCCTGTTCAAACAATCTCAGGCGGATCATTCAATCAATCAATATCCGTCCTATTGCTGTTAACTCCATCTCAGGCGACACATTCCCATCTCCCCAAGCGCGACAATGCAAGTCTTTGTTTGTGTGCAGGATGAGCGAAATCGGAACGAATCCGATCGACACAATGATAAAAATCTAATGAATCCACGCGTGGAACATGATTGCTTTGGTTTATTGAGAAATTCCCATCGACACGATGAGCGAAATCGAATGAACTTACGTCTGGATTGTTCAATCCACACGTGGAGCGTGATTGAGAGATTTCCATTGATTGAATGGATAACGAAAATGAAAACGGAACTGTAACTCATTTTTTCTTTTTCCACTCCAATCAGAGTTCTTCATCCAATCAATGAATGTCCGATCCGATTGCTGGATCGTTCAATCAATCAATCGGTTGGTTGAAAACGCGCCTCGGTTTTGCTTATCCTGCCATTTCGACGCTCCAAGAGAAGGGAAGGACTTGCCTGCGATGAAATGAACAGCAGTCGACCGATTGCTGGTGATTGCAGCGCAGGCAAGTCATTCCAATCTCCTGAAACTTGGCAATGTCAGTCTGTGTTTGTGTGTAGGTTGAGCAAAATCGGAATGAGTTCTCAGCCAACACATGACAATATATTGGGAAGATGGCACGTCCATCGACACGATGAGCGAAATCGGAAGAATGGACTTCTGGTACATGGTTGATTTGATTGAGTGAATGATTTTCATCGATACGATTTGATTGACTGGAAGACGAAACCAACAATGAAGAACGGAGCAACATTGTCTTCTTCTTTTCTTTTCTGATCGTTCCATCAACGGATGTCCAATCCGCCCCCCACTCCGGCTACACATCCGCCCTGCAGTCGATCAATCGTTGGAAACTGAATGGCGTACAATCGGAACGACTGTTTGGTGGCAGATGGGGGTTCGATCTAATCGCTGGTTGAACGAAGACCTTGCAGCAGTCGATTGATCCTCGTCCGCCATCGAACCTTTGTCGGCCATCGAACCTCGTCGGCCATCGAACCTCGTCGGCCATCTAACCTCGTCGGCCATCGAACCCTGATATGAATTTGATAAAAAAAACCACCACCCGACGAAGTCCGGACCCCGGCGAACTTCCCATTCCCATTCACCCTCTCATAAGCCACTCGATTTGCACAGCAACGCAAGCCTGTCCGGTACCGCATGCGCATCAAAGGGCCGAGGGTGGTATGGAAAATACTCGAAGTTCGCCGGTATCCGAACTTCTTCTGACGATCTATAGCTAGACATGAGACTTCCGGAGCGTGAAAAGGCCGACGACCGTTTGGAAACGCGTCAAGTTTGGGTGCGGGCGAACTTGTGCTGTTGTCTTAATGTGCTGGAATGCGAAGTCCGCCGGAATCCGGACTTCAAGACACTGCAGGACCGAGAGCTCGACAGACCTTGTCTGGCTCTCTCACGCGCTCTCACGAAGTTATGGACGAGCCCTGTATGTGGCTCGCCTGGTTGCCCTTGGATTTGAACAATAACCAAGTCCGCCCGTATCCGAACTTCGAGGGGCTCCGAAATTCAGTCATCGACCACACTTGCCCGGATCGGAGCTTCGGATGTCGGCCGCGTAGAATACCGTGAAACCGCCTTCTCGCCAGGCCACCTTTGAGACTGTGGTCGTCCTTGTGCGCCATGATTCCAGAAACCACGCAGGGACGGATATTGGCGCAAACGTCAGGTGCGGATCCAGGCGAACTTCGCATTTCCGGATGATGCAGGTTCTTATTTTGGTGTTTCCGGCGGCCCGTTAATTGCATGAAGGACACAAGTTCGGATGCCGGCGGACTACCAATTATCGACCTTTTTCCAACGAGACTTCGGTTTCCCTCCTGGGCAGTGGAATTAAGCAATCGCTTCACGTTCTACGAACGTGTTGTGGCGGTGAGCTCTCTATCTCCCAGTCTCTCGCAACTTCTCAAAGTTCGGATCCCGCCGAACTTCGCTTTCCTACAAACACTTCGGTTTGACCGTTCTTCGCATTGCGACCGTGCATTTTCGACCCGCATCTGTCGATGTTTTTTTGAATTGACTCCGAATAATTTCAATGCACAGACTTCAACTTTCCGTAGCTTCATCTGTGGGGTGTTTACGAATCAGGATGTTAAACGTGTTGTAGACAGGTGTCGCCAACATCACGTTTCCGCCTGTCATCCGCCCTGTCATTGGGTCCCCTGTCGTTGGGCCGCATTCCCCTGTGCATGTGAAGTACTTGAAAGCGTGTGGAACCTCGTGAATATACAGTTCATGACCTGCCGACTGCGTGTAGGCGTGACAAAAGGGAGTGGTCATTTGCCGACTCTGTTTACGACTGCGTGTGTGGCCGTGTGTTTCGTTTGATATGTGTCCGTGGTGTGTAGGGTGCATAATGGAAGGGAACTTCTCGACACCACAGATCATGCATTCGATATTCTCGACACCGGAGACCATGAGTCCCGAGACGCACATGCGCTTGGCAGAACCGTTTCCTCCTTGTGCGAAATCCGTGAGGCACTTCAACGACGTGACTTCGATCCACGGAGCCACCAGAGAGGACTTCGAAGAGGACCCGTGGATGACCGTCGTCCCGTGCATGAACAAGCATCTTGACGGTTGGCACGATGTCAATTAGGCCGCAATGGAGAGTCGATGCCCTTGGGCAAGCCAGTACAAGTTCGCCAACATGTTGGAGTTTGGAGACCTCATCACGCTGCCTGACGCTGTCCTCAGACACAAGTTCCTGAGCCGTATGCACAGAACACTGAGCTGCATTAGCCGCCATTTCAGTCGCCTAGAGTGTCACTATGTCACGTCGTCGCCACGCGCGTGGACAGGCTCGTGAAAACAAGAGTTGCTGGACTGCGCTCGTCACTGCTCGTTCCTAGAGCACTACCCGCTCCGTTGCCCTGGTCTTTCTTCACAAGTTGTGTCTTACTGTTGTGTGAGGTTGACTGTATCCCAAACCGATTTCGCCAGAGTGTTGTGTGTCGCCACTTGTAACAAAAGTAGGAAACTCGTCGATGCAGTTGTGCTTGTATCACGAAACGAGGTGGTAATTGAGGGGTCCAAATTCGTCGAAGCGCGCGGGCCAGAACGTGTAGATGGGTGGCCGGACTACCTGATAGCAGGGCAGGTCCAAAACTTTTCGTTGTGGCATGAAGTGGAAGAGAAAGTGTCTGACATACGGGACTGTATTGGGAATTCCTTAGCCCAACCAGGAGTTTTCGTTCGGATGAAATACATGTCCGTCTTTTCGGAGAATGCGTCAGTCAAAGAACCGCAGATCCACGTTTACGGATCTCCAATGAATGCTATGTATGGCTTCGGGTCACGACCTCATCCCCGAGGGACCCCGAATGTAACCAGATCTAGACGGGTTGTCAGACATCGTGCTTGAGGGAAAAGGAGGGAGAGGTGTGAGAGGCAGTAGTTGATAGTAGAAACTATATGGCGCACGTGTGGTGCAAAGCCCGAGCTATCCATCTCAACGCGCTTCTGTTTGTCCTCCGACGCCGTGGTTTTCCTGATGCGCAGCTGATTGCACTGAACACGAAAGTGCAGAGCCTTCGTCACGCACATCGCGTCTCTCTCCAGCACCGGCCCTATGTTCGGATCCCGGCGAACTTCGCTTTTCCACAATGTCTTCGAACTGACTGTGTGTTTCCTTACGCCCCTTCGTCGGACTCCCACCTTCACCAGACCTCGTACGTGCGTGTGGACCTCCGTTGCATCTTGGGTTACGGTAACCGCACAAGTGCGGATTCATATTGCTCTGTCGTTTTTTCTCGCGGCCTCATGCGACAACGGCCCGTGTCCGCCCTTGCCCAGACGACTCGTTTCGTCCGCGCTCGGATGTGGGAGGACTTCGCCTTCTCAACCAGCCTGTCAACTAAGTGCGCCCTGTCTCTTCCAGTCGCCCCCTCCAGAAGTTCGGATCCCGGCGAACTTCGCATTTCGGGTGATGCGTGGGTGTGTCAAAGGCCGCTCTGCGGTTCGTCGAGTTGCGTGAGGAAGCGACTGCAGTCAGGTAATTCACGGACCAGCATATGGATCCCGCATGTTATCAGTTCTTGGGGCAGTCTTCCGGGATGCTCAATCGCAACTGCGGTCAGGTTTTGGGACCCTCTTGTCGGATGTGGGTCTGTTTCGAGCAGAGTTTCGCACTCCACAAACAGAACACCCCCCCCGGATCCCGCAGGTTATCAGTTGTTCGGGTAGTCTTTCAGGATGCTCATTCGCAACTGTGGTCAGTTCGGTGGACCCTCTTGTTTGATGTGGGTCTGTTTCGAGCGGAGTTTCGCACCTCGAAAACGGAACTGCCCTCCGGCACGGTTTCTCGCGTAATGGCATTTGCACACTGTCTGCCAGCCAGTTGATTCCCAATGATGCACAATCGTCGTGCACAATTGTCGACCATTATGATGCTTGTAAGATAGGAAGTTCGCCGACATCCGAACTACGCCAACACGTTTTTCTCTGTCGGAACTTCATGCACCGTCTGCCTCGGATTCTGGTGGAACAAGGTCGGACCTTGTCACAATGGCCCATCAACATTTGCTGAAGTCCGTCGGAATCCGTACATCGCTCATGATACATATTCTCCGATGGTAGAGCGATCCTCTATAGTAACCACATGTCCGTTTATGAGAAACGTGCGCAATCTTGACCTCCGATGGACGAAGTTCGCCGGAATCCGAACTTCTAACATATGCTATAAGTAGTTCTAAAGCTGCCCGTTTGCGTGCTAACTGTTGACAACCACCATTCCCCTCTACGCTGTTCGCTCGCCGCCAGCGCACCTGCTTTTCCCTTTGCGGTGTTTTGCTTTTCTATTTGCCTGGCTTGTAGTCCGCCGGTATCCGAAGTTCCCCATTTGTTGATTGTTGGCGGTGTTGTTTGTTTTCGAATGCATCCTCCGCTACGTCTGGTGCAGACACAATGTCTTCGTCAAGAGGCGAGGAGCAGCCTATGGGGACCTCGGGGAGGGAGTCGACGAACACAAAATTGTGGTCGAATCATGCGCACACGAAGTGTTTCGTCGATTGGTGCTTCGTCGAAGATTACGAGCCCATGAAACCGCCTTGCGGTCCTGTCATCTTCGTGGAAGATAGAAAAGGACGAAGAGTGCTCGGCTCGGTCAAGGGATGGCAGCCATCGAAAAACCACGACAAGCAGTGCTACCTGATGCATGTCGTTTACAATTCGAAGGGCGACGTTCTGGCAGGTGCAAAAGGGGCGATTCTCTCGTGGGATCTGTTCCAGGGGTTTGGTGGGGGGGCTTTGAGGACCCCTTTCTACACTGAAGTCGTGGAGGGAGGTCTTGTTTCGGCCAGGGAGTTTTTCGACGAGGTCGAGAGGAGCGATTTCGACCTCGACGATCACTGCCAAATTTCGAGTGACCTGCAGCTGTCGCTTCCTGTGCAAATGTGCTCCGGGTTCATTTCCAGTGGTTCAGTACAGCCCCGGCAGGGTGAGGAAATGGGTTCCGGTGGTTCAGTACAGCCCCGGCAGGGTGAGGAACGCGGTCGCTTCGATGACAGCGAGGAGGAAGAAGAGGAGGACACGCGAGTTTCGCTGCAAAGACTCGGAGATCGCGGAACCCTGAGAATTTCGGGGGCTGAGAGAGGGGCAACGGTCGTCGAGCAGCCGTCGACGTCGGGTGGCCATCGCGGCTTGGGGTCGGAGGACAGGACAGTTGGCGTCGTTACCGGCAGGGAGGGAGGGGAACAGCAATCTACACAAAAGAGAAGGGGAGGTTCTGAGGGGGAGGCGTCGGGAGCTAAAAAGAAGCAGAAGACAAAGACCCCACAGAAGTTAGGGGGTAAAAGGAAGGGAGCTGAGGGGCATGTCGGCGCGTCGAGTCAAAAGCGCCCGGCCTCGGCTCAGAAGCCACCCCAGTCGGCCCCTGTCCAGCCCAGAGGTGTCATCGACATCGACGCGGCATACTTCCTGGAATGGAAAAACGGTGTGCGAACAAAGCGGGAGTTCGCCATTAACCCGTCGCAAGTCATCGACATCGGCGAGTGGGAGGCGGCATACAACCAGCATTCCTTGGATCCCGTGCAAATACAGGACATTATTGACGCAATGACGACGGCCTACTCTCAGACTGAGAAGACTTACGAGCTGCCGACACTAAAGCTCGCGCCTCTCGGGCTGGTTAAACCGTCTCCCGGGGTGCGGGCGGATCGTCTGAAGCCGGAGGACTGGAAGGACGAGCTGGCAGGGCAATACTACTACTACGCTATGGCGGGCCAGCATAACACGGCTGTGGCCAGGGCGCTGCTTGGCACCGATGTGGCGGTGAGGTACAACTTCGAGCGCTGGCCTGCACGAATGGTGTACTTCTCGGACGAGGACTTTGAGGGGTACTTTCTGGTCAGCGTCGAGGACAACAAGAAAGACCTGAAGGCCCCTCCGAGACAGCTGAAACTCTCCATGAGAGATATTTGGTGGTGTTGGAAGGAATTGGGTTACCCGAAAGCTGTTATGGGTAACCCCAGCGGGAAACAGGCGCAGGTGGAGGCATGATGAAGATTTTGTGCGGAGGCGCTCCATAGGACGCCGTACAATCACTTGTGGACTCTCGCCGATGACAAGACCGAGCAACGAATCAAGAAACAGAACGCTGCCCTTCGATCTTATTTCGCGCTCGCGATGGCAGGGAAAAGCGCATGGGAAACCGGGATGGAATTTCTCATGGTTGAACTGGTAGCAGTTCCACAACCGCACCAATATGCGATCGCACTTCACCAGTTGCACTGCCTCTTGCATCCCCAGCTTCCCTTGCTTCGCCAACGCGGAGGACCCTGTCTGCACCCAGACCACCTCGCAGTTGAGAACCTTCTTCAACAACCGGCATTTCTCATTGTCGGTAAGGGCCTCCATCCAGCAGTGCGGATCCGGCTCGGTGACCTGGACGAACCAGTCGCCTGGCTTTTTTTCCTTCTAGCCTTTCTTTTATGGCCCTTCGACGGGGACATTGTAGACGACCACCTTTCGCCCGTCCTTCTCGTTTTCGATGTGGCTCACACCTGGCTTGAGGCCCTGCACCTTCTTCTTCTTTGCGATCCACTTCGCTCCTTCCGGTGCCAGCAGTCTGCCCGTTTCCCAGACAGTGACTGGACCACTAACTACCCCTTCCTGAAAAAACGAGGGGCGATTTTGGCAAAGTTTGAAGGGCAGGGGCTGGATGCAGCGTTGTGGGACGGGAGCAGGAAACTTGTCAGCGACTTCTCCTTGTTCAAGGACTTTCCCCCCTACATGGGTTGCGAGGACGGCAAGTCGATCAAGGCGACAGAAAAGCTAGTCCAAAACAAGAAGTTGCCCATCGACTGGAAGAACAAGGTCCTCTCCGTGTTGACCAGCAGCAGGTCGAAAAGCATGGAAGTCGCGCTGGCCGAAGGGATGGTGCACATTCTGTGGAACGACTCGAAGGACGTCACAACTATTGCCCCGTTCGGCGTCGACCCTCTGGATGCGCAGATGAAGGTCGTGGAGTTGGAGAGGGCGGTCGGAATCACGAAATGCCACACGTTCGTTCTCGACTTGTGCGAACCTGTGGACATCAAACAGTGGACAGCTAAAGTCTTCGAGAGTTTGAATGCCCTCCTGGAGCACTTGTTCCCCTCGCACTTGACAGTAGTCGCGTTTGTCCCCTGTGAGCACGACTACTACTTCATGACCAGCCTGCACCATCTGTCCGTCGTGAAGGCAATGACCGGGAAGTGGGTGAGGAGGACGCAGCAGAAGAAAAGTTTCGGTGTTGGCCACAACTTGTACTCCTTGGACGACCGCATGTACATCCTTTTCAAAGGCGACGACTTGCGGGAGAACACATCTGTTGTCTACGACGCGAGGTTGGCGGCGGGTGATGCTGCCGCGGTGGGGGCACTTCAGAAAGTGACTCCCACTGAGATATCCGACATGCCGTTCGACGCTTGTGAATGGCCCGTCGTAATACATGGGCGTGATCCCGTGGTGTTCAAGGGCCATGAGCGGAACCCCACACAATTCGCCCATCTGCTGGAATTCCTTTGCAAAAAGGGAGACGGCATCATGTTCCTCGGGAAAGCGCACGCACAAGTCATGTGGGAGGTTTTGAAGGGTGGTCGCAACGTCATCGCGTTGGAGGGGAATTCGGAGTGGTTGCAATTCACGTTGGATTTCCTGAAAACCGCGGTCAACTCGGGAGCATACCGCTGCGAGTTCATTACGAAGAGTGAGAAGCCGAGACGCGTTTGGGATCCTTCGACGGACATGTGGTTCAAGCTAAGCGCCCGGAAAAGGAGCAGGATCTACGAGTTCCTCTTCTTGGAGAAGCGTCCTGCGAGGGGCACCGACATCGAGTATATGCGCCGCAAGCAACACATGTTGGTGCTGCTAGACAACTATCACGGCGCCACGCGGCTGAACGCGAAGAACTTTCTGGACCGACTGGAGTTATTGTACTTTGTCGAATCCGAGCCAGTCTTGAGGCTCGAGAGTTACGGTGCCTTGATTGACGCCGACGAAGAGTCCCTCACCGGTGTTGTCTTCGACACCGGTGCACCTGAGGAGGATAGTGACACCGAGGAAATTGACATCGACTACCGCCTTGCTCTGGTGCTCCCATCCCCGGCCTCCTCGTCGGCGAGTCCCTCAACAAACCGGCCTGCACAATCGACGCCCGTGCGGAGGACCCCTAGTAAGCTGTTGGCGAGATTGACACCTCGGCCTACTGCGCCTCCTCCTCTGCGTCCAGGGTGTCAAGTCCCCCTGCAACATCCTTCTCGGAAGGATGAGAACATCCACTTCGAAGGGCACGACCACACGCGTTCCACGGAGGCAGACTGGGGTCATGACATGATTTGGCACCCGGGGACGATCCARCCCGCAATTCGGGAGGGGGAGTGGGTCATGGCCATAGTCGACACTGACGGGGAATGGAAGTCGTCCGAGCGCCTGGCCAAGTCCGACTACTTGGATATCGCGAGGAGTGATGTGGTGGACAAAGTGACGTCAGAGAACAGCAACCTGCAGCCCGCCGACCCGGCCATCATTGCCACTGCTGATCGCTTGTTTCGGGAACTTTATGACAAGCAGTGGTTGGAACTATCTGACGATTTCTATGACCTCGAGACGAGCCCTTCGAAGAAAAAGGTGAACTGGAAAGTACCCCCGTCGACAGGGACCCAGGGTAGTGTGGGAGGAGGACCTCCGAGCCCCCACGGGGCCGGAGGGGGGGAGGCAGTGGCCACGAGGAAGGAGGTGGCGGAGGCAGTGGCCATACGACATCACGGGGAAGCGCGCCGACATTATCGCCTGCCCCTGGTGGTCAGGGCAGGATCGTGCACAGCGGCGTGGGGGAAGGGGGGGTGAATGTCACACACTCCCCAACAACAGGGAGCGGCAAGTCGGGTAAGTTCGTCCGCATCCGAACTTCGCAGACGGAGGACCCAGTGCCCGTGGAGGCAGCAAAGTCGGCCGGCATCCGCACTTCGACGACTCTGGAGCAGGCGGCCCTTCCCTCGTGGACTGCTTTCGGCTCCTCCGGTGAAGTGGGGCGGGGCTCATGTGCAGGGCCTGTCTCCGCCGTGAAGGGCAAGTCCGCGGGGATCGCTGCCAGGGCGGACGACGTTCAGGCGAGTGTACCGGTTCAATGGAGCTCTACAGGAGCACAGGCGTCGGAGATGGGCGCCGCCCTGGGTGTGGGGGAGGCGACGCCGCCGGCCCTTGGACAAGGCCGATCTACGGAGTCACAGAGAGAGATTTCTGGTGCAGCGCCGTCCGCCTTCCTTGCGACGAAGTCCGCCGGTATCCGTACTTCGTCCGTGACGTGCCTGCAGGCGGAGGAGGCCGGGACAAAGGAAGGTGCTACGTCTGTTCATACAGACGACCGCTCCTTGGGTTCCGCCTTGATGCAGCTGCAAGGAGCCGAGTCGCGTGAGACTGACGGGGGGGAAGAATGGGTGGAAGTCGAGGGCGGGGAAGAAGGGGGAGAATGGGAGGAGGGGGGAGAAGGAGATGAAGGGCGAGAGAAGGAGTTGATTACATTGTGCGACGGGGACGACGGTGAAGAAGGAGGACTCAGTATTACATACAAGGAAAGGGTGGATGCCGGAGACAAGGATGTCTGTGGGGAGACATCTGATTCGTTCGGTTTGGTGTACGCCAGACCAGGTGAAGGTGATATCGACGACGACGCGATGACGATGGAGATGGAGACGCAGGTGGTTAGTGGCCTTTCCATGGACCACGAAGAATATGACGCCCACCACCTGGCCACGGCGGTGCATCCCCCCGATGGGTGCGACGAGGCTATCATGACAGTGAGCCCGGCGAAAACGACTCGTCATCTTAGCGTCAACGAGGTCATCGATAGCATACAGGGCGACCTGCAAGCTAAAACACTTTCGTCCACCCCGTCAAAAGACGATGCCCTTCTCAGCAACGAAACTTTCGCGGCCGGGGACTTGGCGCTCATCCAGCCGTGCTTTCCGCTACCCTGGTCACCGCTCACAGGAGGAAGTGGGGGGGTTGTTGGGGGCCGCCAGCACGTCACGTCCCCGAAAAAGTGCAGGGTAGGCACTCCGGCCCTGGCTGTCCTCGCCTTACCAGCGCCCACGTCGCCGACGAAGGAGCAGAAAGAAAAACAAGCTGGTAAGCATTGACGATCGTCGCGATGTCAGCACTCCCGTGTTTCGGGATTGTCGACGCTGTCTGTCAACCCCCTTGTCGGTTTATGCCCCACGTTAGATGGACAAAATTCCGCTTCACTTGTCAGCGAGGACCAATTGGCCTCTTGTTCTTTAACACACCGTCACGCTTTATTCTTCGACCGCTCATCCGTTCCTCCCTCTACAACTCCTCTGTCGCCGTCTCGACTTTCTATCTCTGGCCGACACCTGTAGTGCGCATACCGGCGGACTACAAGACATACCGTCTGATAAACGATTTTCGCAGCGACGAGCTTGTGTGCATTCGCACATAAAACGACGAGCGCAGTCTAGCTCGAGAACCCTGCACATGACGACGAAAGACCACATCACGCCAAAGAAGAGGAATGTTTACAAATGCCGAAGTTCGGATTCCGGCGGACTTGCAGCTACAACCAGCAGGTCAAGTCGCAGAACCGGGTTTGGTCCTGACACTGGAACTGCGGAAACCGTCGGAAAAACGGTAATACGGAAGGTCTGTTCGGAAGCCCGCCGGCATCCGAATTACAAGTGCCGGCGCGAGGTGGAGCACGCCCCGTTGGTCGGTGTTTGCGAACTGTGGCTGCAAGTCCGCTGGAATCCGCACATCGGCAAATGTCGACTTTCCACCTCGCGCCGACACTTATAGTGCGGATACCGGCGGACTAGAAAACATACCGTTCGAAGTTTCGGTTTCCTCCGGTCACCGCAGTTCCAGTGTCAGGACCAAACCCGGATGGTCCGTGTCTGCTAGTTGTAGCTGCAAGTCCGCCGAAATCCGAACTTCAGCATTGGTAGGCGTTCCTCTTCTTTGGCCTGATGTGGTCTTCGTCGTCATGTGCTGGGGTCTCGGGCTCGACAACGCTCGTCGTTTTATGTCCGAATGCAAGCATGCTTGTGGGCTACATTATCTTTCACATTGTCACTTTCGTCGAACTCCTCCTGGGAATCATATATTCATTTCGGGTTCTGTCTGTTCTCTATTTTACAGGGGTCCAGTCGTCTCTAAAAAGGAGTTTCTCGAAATATCCGGCACGTGTATTGCAGAAACTTCCGAGATTCACGACAAGAAACAAGAATATGTTAAAGGCATCAGGGGTTG